AATGTGGTGATCATGTCCCCCCTAACTCTTCTGTCTTCCAGCGAAGTGAGGTTTAATTCCCGTAGTCTCTCCTCGTAGCTCATACCTCTCAGCTCGGGTACTAGTCTGGTGGCAAACCTTTGAACCTTTTCCAGTTTAGTCTTATCCTTGACTAGATATGGACTCCATGCTGGGGCTGCATACTCCAGGATTGGCCTGACATATGTGGTATACAAAGTTCTGAATGATTCTTTACACAACTTTCTGAATGCCGTTCGTATGTTGGCCAGCCTGGCATATGCCGCTGATGTTATCCGCTTGATATGTGCTGCAGGAGACAGGTCTGGCGTGATATCAACCCCCAAGTCTTTTTCCTTCTCTGACTCCTGAAGAATTTCCTCTCCCAGATGATACCTTGTATCTGGCCTCCTGCTCCCTACACCTATCTTCATTACATTACATTTGGCAGGGTTAAACTCTAACAACCATTTGTTCGACCATTCCTTCAGCTTGTCTAGGTCTTCTTGAAGCCTCAAACAGTCCTCTTCTGTTTTAATCCTTCTCATAATTTTAGCATCGTCCGCAAACATTGAGAGAAATGAATCGATATCCTCCGGGAGATCATTTACATATATCAGAAACAAGATAGGACCGAGTACAGAGGCCTGTGGGACTCCACTGGTGACTTCACGCCAATCGAAGGTCTCACCCCTCACCGTAACTCTCTGCTTCCTATTGCTTAGATACTCCCTTATCCACTGGAGCACCTTACCAGCTACACCTGCCTGTCTCTCCAGCTTATATACCAGCCTCTTATGCGGTACTGTGTCAAAGGCTTTCCGACAATCCAAGAAAATGCAGTCCGCCCGTCCTCTCTTTCTTGCTTAATCTTTGTCACCTGATCGTAAAATTCTATCAAGCCTGTAAGGCAAGATTTACCCTCCCTGAACCCATGTTGGCGAAGTCCCTTCTCTCCAGATGTGTTACCAGGTTTTTTCTCATGATCTTCTCCATCACCTTGCATGGTATACAAGTCAAGGACACTGGCCTGTAGTTCAGTGCCTCTTGCCTGTCGCCCTTTTTGTATATTGGGACCGCATTCGCCGTCTTCCATATTTCTGGGAGGTCTACCGTCTCCAGTGACTTAGTATACACTATGGAGAGTGGCAAGCAAAGTGCCTCTGCACACTCTTTCAGTACCCATGGTGAGATCCCATCTGGACCAACAGCCTTTCTAGCATCCAGATCCAGCAGGTGTCTCTTGACCTCCTCTCTCGTAATTTCGAACTCTTCCAAGGCCGCCTGGTTTACCTCCCTTTCTCCTAGCACAATGACCTCACCTTGTTCTATTGTGAAGACCTCCTGGAACCTCTTGTTGAGTTCTTCACACATCTCTCTGTCATTCTCTGTATACCTGTCCTTGCCTGTTCGAAGTTTCAATACCTGTTCTTTCACTGTTGTTTTCCTTGTGATGTGACTATGGAGTAGCTTTGGTTCGGTCTTGGCTTTGTTTGCTATATCATTTTCAAAACTTTTCTCTGCTTCTCTTCTCACCATGACGTACTCATTCCTGGTTCTCTGGTATCTCTCTCTGCTTTCTGGTGTTCTGTTATTCCGGAAGTTCCTCCACGCCCTTTTGTTCAGTTTCTTCGCTTCCATACATGCCCTATTATACCATGGATTCTTCTGTTGCTTCTCGGATTTTTCCCTTTGGGCCGGGATATGAACCTGTTTAGTGCCTCCTGACACTTTTGGGTAACATAGTCCATCATACCCTGTACAGACTTGTCTCTGAGGTCTGTGTCCCAAGGTATTTCACTTAGGAAACTTCTCATCTGTTCATAATTCCCCTGTCGGTATGCCAGCCTTTTGATTCCTAGTTCTTTCTTGGGGGAGATATGTCCTAGCTCTGTCAGGTACTCAAAGTTCAATACACTGTGGTCACTCATTCCCAAGGGTGCTTCCATCTTAACTTCCCTTATATCCCACTCATTTAGGATAAATATCAAATCAAGCATTGATGGTTCATCTTCTCCTCTCATTCTTGTTGGTTCTTTGATGTGCTGGCTTAGAAAGTTTCTTGTTGCCACGTCCAGCAGCTTAGCTCTCCATGTTTCTGGTCCTATATGCGGGTCTCTGTTCTTCCAATCTATCTTCCCATGGTTGAAGTCTCCCATAATTAATAGTCCAGATCCATTCCTGCTAGCAACAGAAGCTGCTCTTTCTATTATGTTAATGGTGGCCATGTTGTTTCTATCATATTCCTGTCTAGGTCTTCTGTCATTTGGTGGTAGATTATATATGACTACGACTATAATTTTTTTCCCTCCATTTGTTACAGTACCTGCTATGTAGTCACTGAAACCTTCACAGCCCTGAATATCCATCTCCTCAAAATCCCAGCCTTTTCTTACCAGCAGAGCTACACCACCCCCACCTCTTCCTTCCCTCTCTTTCCTCATAACATAATAGTCCTGTGGGAACACTGCGTTTGTTATCGTTTTTGTGATCTTTGTTTCTGTGAGGGCTATTATGTCTGGGTTTTCCTCTAGTACCCGTTCTCCAAGCTCATTTGCTTTATTTGTAATTCCATCGATGTTAGTGTACATCGCTTTGAGGCTCACTTTCTTCTGTCCCTTCTCAAATCGCCTCCTTCGTGAGTGTTCTGCTGGTGGGGGAGGCTGTTCCATGGGTGTGAGGACCTGTGAGGTGGATAACAGGGTCTCAGAGGATACTGGGATGAGGGGCGGGGGATCCAGTGAAGGGGGAGGGACAGGGAGGGTATGGGGTGAAAGGGGAGGGAGGACGGGAAGGGAAGGGGGGGAGGGAGGACTCGGGAGGAGGGGAGGGGTAGAAGGGGTTTTCTATGCAGAGGAGGGAGGCGGGGTTGTCCTCCCTTCTGGTGTTACTGGGTAGCTGGTTGTGGGTTCCCCCCCTCGCCTCTGCGGGTGTTGTGTTGGGAGCTGTGACTTCCTGGTTTTCCCCTCTCGCCCTGCGCCTCTTCCTTGCTTCTGCCGCCACGGCTCTCTCCTCCCTTGTCATGTCTCTCTGGAGGAATACATTTTTGAATTTTCCCACGTTTTTCAGGGAGCTCTTCCTTGATAGGATCTTCTCCTTTGTGCTCTCGTTTGCAAACACTATCTTTATCATTCAGTCTCGGTCTTTGTTGTACCAACCTAGCCTGAAAACCTTCTCAATGTCCCTTCTCAGCTCAGCCCCTTCCATGTCTAGTGCCTTTAGTACTTCATTCACTGCTGCTTTGTCCTTGTCATTCCACTCTGTCCTATTAGAGCCTTCCTGCTCTTTAATACCCACAGCAACCACTGATCTGTTCCTTTTCAGCAGTTGGCTAGTGGAGGTGCCGCCTCCAGTGAGGTGGCTGCTTTCATGGCCACCTCCATCACTGCAGTCATTACTTCAGAGTTATTTTTTTTAGTATTTCCGCAAATGTTGCTTTTATTGTGGCATTCTCATCCAAAAAACTATTACCGCCTTCTCCCTGGATGGTTTTCTGATTCTCAGCCTCGATACCATTCTCTTTGAGGGCTCTAATCTCCTCCTTTGTTGCTGTCAGCTCTGTTTTCAGGTTGCTTATTTCGTTCTTCATTTCCTGCATCATTTCTTACATCTCACTCTTGATGTCCTCCAGAAACTGGGCGAACATTTCCTTCATTTCGTCACCTTGGCTCTTCTCTGTTCCCCGGGTGCCTCTGGCTGCCATGCTTGACCCTGTTCCTAAAGTTGTGCCATGATAGGATTTGTCAGGAGGGCAGAGCGGGATGAGGGAGGAAGAGAGAGAGAGAGGAAGAGAGAGAGAAAGAGAGAGAGAGAAAGGGAGTGATAAAGGGAGAGATAAATGGGTGGGTGGGGGGGATCCGACCCTTCCACTGAAGTGAGAAGAAAGTAGAAGGGGAGGGGGGAGGAGATGGAGAGAGAGGCGGGAGGGAGAGAGGGGGGAGGTGTGTGTGTGTGTGTATGTGTGTGTGTGTGTGTGTGTGTGTGTGTGTGTGTGTGTGTGTGTGTGTGTGTGTGTGTGTGTGTGTGTGTGTGTTTACTAGTTGTGTTTACTAGTTGTGTTTTTGCGGGGGTTGAGCTTTGCTCTTTCGGCCCGCCTCTCAACTGTCAATCAACTGTTTACTAACTACTTTTTTTTTTTTTTTTTTTCCCCACACCACACACACACACACACCCCAGGAAGCAGCCCATGACAGCTGACTAACTCCCAGGTACCTATTTACTGCTAGGTAACAGGGGCACTTAGGGTGAAAGAAACTTTGCCCATTTGTTTCTGCCTCGTGCGAGAATCGAACCCGCGCCACAAAATTACGAGTCCTGCTCGCTATTCACCAGGCTACGAGGCCCCCCCTATGAGGCCCTACGTGTGTGTGTGTGTGTGTGTGTGTGTGTGTGTGTGTGTGTGTGTGTGTGTGTGTGTGTGTGTGTGTGTGTGTGGGCAGAGAGGGAGGGGGAAGAGAGAGAGAGAGAGAGAGAGAGAGAGAGAGAGAGAGAGAGAGAGAGAGAGAGAGAGAGAGAGAGAGAGAGAGAGAGAGAGAGAGAGAGAGAGAGAGAGAGATAGAGAGAGATAGAGAGAGATATAGATAGATATAGATAGATATAGATAGATATAGATAGATATAGATAGATATAGATAGATATAGATAGATATAGATAGATAGATAGATAGATAGATCTCAGATGTAATCTCTAGTAATCTCTGAGATCTCTACCTGTCGAAGAGATCTCAGATGTAATTACTGCCACCGGACAGGTCATCAACAGGACACTTGTCGTACCAAAAGGGTCCTGGATAGACAGGAACAAATGTTTAGAGATCTAATCACAGATCAATCTCAGAAATACTCAGACCTGGTGCATACTCTTACTCGTCAGCACCCTTACTATCCATACCCAATCCCTGAAGGTGTCGTTGTGCCTTATTCAGCTCAGCAGATTTACACTCCACCAGCACAGCAGCTACGTAATCTGCCTCCATACACAGCTGCATTCTCAAACTTGCAGACATGAGGAGTCAATCGATCAGCATATTGTCTGCCAACATCAGGGGCTTCATGACCAATGTTGGCGATCTCACACATAGCTTTGTGAACACTCATCGTCCTGATGTGGTTGTTGTGCTAGAAACATTTCTAGATGACAAGACCCCTGAGAACTTTGCTACAATTGCCGGTTATACCTCATGGTTGCGCCGAGATAGGCAGGGTCAAGGAGGGGGTGTTGCAGTGTGCACCAGCAAATCTGTGTATGTACAACACATTGATGTGGTCATTCCTGGTCATCTTGAAATTATGTTCTTCAAAGTATGCTTAAATCCAGGTACCTCAATTCTCTTATGTGCAATGTACAGACCTCAATGGCAGGGTGCTTCTCCAATCGCCTTCCTGATGGACAATCTAGACTCCCTGCTAATGCAGCACAACTGTCAGCACATTATAATTGTAGGTGACCTCAACCAGTATCTTATACAGAGGGATTTTGATGAACTCTTAGCAGTTTTTAACCTTGAAAATTTTATGAGCTTTCCTACCCACATATCAGGCTCGTCCCTTGATCCTGTCGTAACTGACCTTCCTGCAAATATTGTTAATTGCAGACCTCTGGGATATGTTGGTTCTTCAGACCACCAGGCTGTCTTTACTACACTGGCTATCCCGACAGATCGAGGTGAAGAATCTGTTCGTACTACCTGGCTATGGGACAGAGGGAACTGGCCAGCCCTACGTTCAGAGCTTGAAGTAACTGATTGGCATGCCTTGCTCCAGGGGGGCGTGAACAGCCAAGTAAACGCTTTCACCAGTCATATACTGGACCTCCAGTATAGGCATATCCCTCACCGGCAGTATGTGACCAAGCCCACTGATCAGCCTTGGTTTGGATATCGGTGCCGGATGGCAGCTGAAGCCAAAAACAAGGCCTGGAGGAGATTTAAACGGCATCCCTCGGCTCATAACAGAAACATTCATAGACAATCTTGTCGAATAATGAAAGAAGTTCAAAAGTGGGCTATATCCAGATGGGAATCCGAAACTCGAAGAAAACTTGCATCTGGAAGGGTTGGATCCAAGGTCTGGTGGTCCCTGGTGAAGGATCGGCAGGGGTACTCATCTGAGGACACAATCCCACCTCTAAACAGAGAAGATGGTACTGTGGCAACCAGCAATCAGGAGAAGGCTGATTTACTGGCAAACCACTTTGCTTCCAAGATGCAGGTCCCTGATCCTGAACGTCAGCCTCCACATCTTGCCCCATGCACTGTGTCTAAGTTGACTGAAGTGGTTATAAATCAGGCTGAAGTTCTCCATCTCCTTAACACGCTAGACACAAGCAAAGCTGTGGGGCCAGATAAGGTCAGTCCAAGACTACTACGCTGCTGCGCTGACCTGTTGGCTCCACCTCTCACGCGCCTCTTCCAACTGTGCCTAGTTCAAGGAATTTGGCCCTCCTTATGGAAGAAGGCAGACGTTGTTCCAGTGCACAAAAAGAAGAGCCGCTCAGTAGTTGGTAACTACAGACCTGTGTCACTGCTTTCCATTACTGGCAAGATCCTAGAATCATTAATTGCTCAGCAAATGACATCATTTTTTGACCGTCATCGGCTAATTTGTGATCGACAGTATGGTTTTAGAAAAGGCCGATCTGCTGCTGATCTTTTGCTAAATCTCTCCTCTAAGTGGCATCAGTCACTGGATGAATCCAAGATCAGCTGTGTTGTTGCTCTAGATATAGCAGGAGCCTTTGATCGGGTCTGGCACTCTGGACTAGCAGTGAAGCTTCAAGCTTTAGGCATTGCAGGCTCCATCTTAGTGTTATTAAAAGACTACCTTCAAGAACGGACTCTAAGGGTGGTCCTCAATGGAGCAGAATCCGATAGCCACTCAATTGGTGCCAGCGTTCCACAGGGTAGTGTGCTTGGCCCTCTGCTGTGGAATGTTTATTTCAACGATCTTCTTCATCTCATTCCTGAAGCTCAAGCCTATGCTGATGACTGTACTCTAACCTTTACATACAGAAAGGAGGAAATGCTAACTGCTGCAAGAATCATTAATCACAAACTTTCAGCAATTTCTACCTGGGGTAGGAGATGGCAGGTCACATTTGCGGCTGAGAAGACTCAAGCGATGATGATAACCAGACTGCACATGGCGAATCGGACAGAACTGCAAATGGGTGGCAAATCCCTAGAGTTCACAGAAGAATTTGACATCTTGGGAATGAAGTTCGACTCTTCAATGACAATGAAGAGCCATGTGCTAAACCTAGCTAAAAAGGCAGCCAGGAAACTTACAGCACTACGGCGCATCTCATATCTTCTTGACAGCAAGGGATGCAAAACCTTATATGAAGCTCAAGTTCGCTCCCATCTTGAGTATGCACCCCTTTCCTGGATTGCCTGCCCCCCATCTTTCGTCAGACTGTTGGACAAAGTGGAGAGACGGGCTAGAAGGCTTATCTCTAGTCTTGACCAAGTCTGGTGGGAACGGTCTGAACATCAGAGCCTGCAACACCGTCGGGACGTTGTTGGTCTTACTGTTATGTACAAGGCCAATATTCTCAAAGTTCCGCACTTGGCCCAACTCCGTGGAGTACCAGTAGTTCCCACTCGTAACACTAGGCTCTCAACCTTCAACACTCTCATGCTGGAAGTGCCATTCTCAAGAACATCACTCCATCAGCGTTCATTCCTTCCGAGACTTACTCGCATCTGGAACTTGTTCGCTCAACAGATTGATACACGGGAGATCTGGTCAACTGTTCACATGAAGACTCTGGCACACAGCTGGCTACAAGCTCATCCTGTTCCTTATATGATTGTTACTTAATGTTTTTAATGAATAAAGGCTATTCCTTCTAAAGCAAATAATACCAGGCTCATGAAATAAATGGGCATCTAGGAGTAGGTTTCAACTTAGCTTACATAAGATAAATATATGATAGTTCCCAATGTGTTAGTTTCAAAGTATACTCTTATGTAATAAATGAGTTTCTAGGTGTAGGCTTCAGATGAGCTGAGGTAGGATAACAGCTCTTGCTTGCAGTTTCAGTAGGTATGTTATTAGGCATCCCTTATGAATCCTAGTCTTAGTTTAAAAAAAAAAAAAAAAAAAAAAAAAGAGTGAGTGGGAGAGAGAGAGAGTGGGAGAGAGAGAGAGAGAGAGAGTGGGAGAGGGAGAGAGTGGGGAGGGGAAGAGTGTGTGTATGGGCGATGCGGGGGACGGGGGGTGGGGGGGGGGGGCGGCGGAGATGGCGACCAGGTCAGGTCAGGTCAGATGGGGGGGTCAAGAGGGGGGGATAGTAGGTCCTGATCTGAGGTGTTAATGCCTTTTCCCCTGACTGAACGATTGTGTGTGTGTGTGTGTGCGTGTGTGTGTCTGTCTGTTTTAGCGTGTGCACACTTGTTTGCGTGTATACGTACGTGGGCGGGCGTGCGTGTATGTGTCAAGATATCCCTTATGCGTATACCTCTAACTAAATGAGCCACCCTGAGATTTTTAAATATATATGATATCCTGAACAAGAATTTGATAATATTTTACCTCAATCTGTACACCTGATTAATTGACCAGAGAGGGGGTACATACCAGTCTCCTCCCGCTCACACAACCAGATGAGTAAGGACGATGTATGATGACGATGGTTATCCGTCGTTGTCTCCCACTAGGTGATTCACTAAGTGCTGGTAGATTGATGAGGTTGGTTCTTCTCTGTCTACACAAAGCTCTGGAGTCAGTCACTGTATCGTTGTGTGACAGTTCACTAATTCACTGTACCACTGATCACAGTCACCACTCAACAGCACAATCAGGTAGTTCCACGACGGGGCGTCCCACCTGGTCAGGTAGCACACTTACATGCACCGGTGATGCCACTAGCTCCACTTTGGTTTCTTCGCCAAATCTTCGCACTATCGCTAGCGATATGACTATGCTATGTTGCACCCTGCTAGCTACACACTGCAAGTGGCCAAATACTGTGATCTAGCCTCTATACTCCTTCAATGTCCCGAGAAATTGACGAATTTCCGCGGACCTCACTAATTGTATGTATGTATGTATGTATGTATGTATGTATGTATGTATGTATGTATGTATGTATGTATGTATGTATGTATGTATGTATGTATATATATATATATATATATATATATATATATATATATATATATATATATATATATATATATATATATATATATATATATATATATATATATATATATACACACAACTTTAGAAACACTTCACTCTTCACTCTCCACTCTTCACTCTATACTTCACTCTCGTGTTTAGGAGAGTTGTGCCATATATATATATATATATATATATATATATATATATATATATATATATATATATATATATATATATATATATATATATATATATATATATATATATATATATATATATATATGTAATATATAATATATAATGCTGAACTGTAATGCCAATCCTGACCTTTAAAGCTTCATTTAAGGTTGTAACAGAACCCATGAGCACCACACCAAAAACAAATACCTTTTCGATATTCCAAGAGTACGACTTGATCAAACTAGAAATGCTCTACAAATCAAGGGACCCAGAATGTGGAATGACCTTCCCAATCATGTTAAAGACTGTACCTCTCTCAACCAGTTTAAGATGAAAACTAAGCACTACTTAATTAACTCCCTGTAACCTACCTTACCCCAATAATGTCAACCCATGTCTGTTATTTTTTAAACAATGCTGTTTGTTGACCAAATTGTATTTTTGCTGTTTTTCTGCCATGTTCCCCCCGTTTTTTTTATATTTTCTCAACACATTTTATACTTTAATCTCAATTAGTATTAAGTTTTAGTCTTCAGTGTTTTTCCTGCCCGAAACGCTTTGCGTAATAGTAATTTTGCCCGAAACGCATTGCGTAATAGTGGCTTTAGGCATTGTATGTACTAGCTCTACCTATATATCAATCCATTAATGTAACATCACTTGTATGTATGTACCTTACCTGAATAAACATATTTATTTATTATTTATTTAGTGGCTTTAGGCATTGTATGTACTAGCTTTATTTATAAATTCATCAATATTTGTATCACCCCCCCCCCCTTTCCCCATCCGGCCCGTTGGCGCCATGAGGGGGGCTTAGTGAACGGCTGCTGGAGTGTGATGCTCCGTGAGACAGTCCTCTGTCCTTTTTTGGCGATGCACTCCTGCTGCTGTCTTCTCTAATTGTGCCGAATCGCTTTTCCTTTTCCTTTTGTTTCGTTTTTCTCCCCCCTCTTCTCCTATCTGCTTGTCTTTTCCTGCCGACCTTTTGCTTATTTTGGTTATTCCTTTGGACTTCTTCTATTTTGACGCCCGGGTGCTTGAGGAGGCATACTTTTGCACCCGTAGAACTGTAGTACCCAACGTCTTGAGCGAGGGGAACCTTTTTTTGTCAATCCCCCTTACGTCGCTGAACCCGATCTCGACGAACTGACGGTTCTTAAGGTGGCGTTTGTGGGGCGTATACTCACGACGCACCCCTGGGGTGCACCGGCATGATCGGCAATACCTTCCTGTTGGGTGTCCTGCCTCTAATTGTGGCTCCATGGTGGGTATGGGGGCACATTCGTGGATAAATTTCTTTCTCTTCGTCTATATGTCGTTGAATGTTTCTGTTGTACCCTCTCAGGCTCGTGGGGTGGGCGACCAAGCCCCCGAGTCGGCCTGTATTGGAAGACCAGGCTCTGTAGCTCCCGCTGCGTTGGGCCCTGACCTTGCTCCTCCACTGACCGTCTTGAATTCTTCCCCCAGCTCCCCTCCCTCCTCTGTGTTTGGGTCGAGCCTCAAGCCCCCAGTGGTGACCACTTCGTCCCCTGGTGCGGCTAAGTCTCTCGTTGTGACTACTGCGCCTTTTGACCCCTCTCTCTCTGGGGGTTCTTAACGCCGTCGGCGCCACGGCCGCACTCGCTCGTTTCCTTCCTGTACTGATGCGTATCAGGCCTTATTTGGTCCTGCTTCGTGGGCCAAATACTTTGATCTCCTCCCTCTAGATTCTGCGTCTCTTGACGATTTCTCCCTCCATTGGCATCTCGTTGATTCCGTGGATGCGTCTGTTCCTTTCAACCCCACTCGTCTCGGTACACGTGTCGTTGCTGCTTCTTCTCAGGATGCAGC